TGTGTGTTTTGTTTACACTGAAAAACATTCCAAAAGAGTCCGTAGGTGAAGAGGCCAGCAGGGCCCAGGCAGGAGGCAGGTCAGGTGCCCCTGAAGTCCATCTCCTTTTGTTATTTTCATGTCCAGGCGAGCCTGCCTGCAGCGTGCAGGGCCCAGCCCACAAGCCTGTCAGACCCGGAAGGCAGAGGCTCCAGGTCCCAGCTGTCAGAGGGAACCAGATGACCATCTGCCGCCCAAGTTCCCCCTCCCTCACCCATTGTGTCTTCGGGGGCCTCTGGATCCCACAAGCATCCCGGGCAGGGGACCCACTCTGAGATGAAGGCAGCTCGTGTGATTCAGTCCAAAGCCCTAAGATGAATTTTCCAGCTCTGCACCCCCCCATCCACAGCGACATCTTGGGAGGGAGGGGGCACACATCACACACGACGCCTTCATGATAAGACCTTTCACTGCTAAAGGGCACTGGCCACCCTGAGAATGAGAAAATCATCAACAAAGCTCAGTCCCCAAAGAGGGCACCAGGTGGCAGCTGGCTTGGATAATGGCAGAGGCTCAGGGTGACTGAGGGGCCAGTGATGTTCCCAGCTACTCACCCGCCAGGCTGATCTACGTCTGCATCCAAATCTCCCTCCCGTGGGCAAAACAATTCTGTTTGTCTTCCCAAACCTCAGAGACGCCGAGAGCTGTGTTGGATCTGGTTGGCTTAGGTAAGTTCAAAACTATGCTTGTACCTGTTGCCTGTTTCGCTGTTGTTTAATATGTTTTTATTTATTTCAGAGAGAAAAGGAGAGGGAGAGAGAGAAACATCAATGATGACAATCATCGATAGGCTGCCTCCTGCTTGCCCCTCTCCTGGGGATTGAGCCCACAACCTGGGCATATGCCCTTGACCAGAACTGAACCAGAGACCTTTAAGTCCACAGGCTGACACTCTAGCCACTTAGACAAACTAGCTAGGGCCCTGTTGCCTGGTTTTTAATTCGCTTGTTTTTCTTTTTATTATTACTTTGTAGGAGCTCCCCATAAGATTCTAGATACTTTTTTTTTTTTTTTTTGAGATATCTTCTTCCAGTTAACACATTAAATCTTTGAATATTCTTCCTTGGCATGGACCACTTTTAAGTGGAAACTGTAAATAGGTTTGTTACGCCAATGATTCTGGAAGAACCAAACTATCCCCACTCATCTCAAGACCCTCTGGGCCATGGTCTGCACCTGAATTCAAGCACCAGCCAAAGCCTTAGAAAAATAGAGAGACCTAGACCCAAGTTTGAGGGCCAGGCTGAAGTGAGGGAGGGAGTGATCTGCGTGAGAATATGGGAGGTTTCTGTGGTGAGGCTGGTCTCGGGGGGGAGGTGAAGATGGAGAGGAGAGAGGGAGGAAGCCCTGGGCCACTCGGCCAATTTGGAGTGGGTAAAGAGACAGGTTTTCTAAAAATCAAAATAGAATTCATTGATGTGACAGCAATATGATTCCCTGGTGTCTCCAGGCTTTTGAAATCCTGAAGGGCTGAGCTACTAGTCTGTGTAGCAGAAATGTGGGTGAGGGCTGTGAGACGCTCCCCCAAAACACTGGCTTAGCCAGTGCCAAGGTGAAAGCTGGAGGGCACAGAGCATGCCTGTGGCTGGAACTCATCCCCAGTCTGTGCAGTGCCTAAAGCAGCACCTCCTGGGTGCTTTAAGGCCATCTGTGGTCATTACATCCTTGTACAGCCTGTGGTAGTGTTAGGTGGCCGAAGGTTATGTAATTTATCCACAGTCACACAGCTGATAAGGGACAGCCCGGATTTACACCACTCCCCGTTTCCTGTGGCAGGGCTCTTGGTTCCCTCTCAAGAGAAGTACCAGAATCATTTATTATTATAGAACCCCAAAAGTGCTTTATATAAAGACTGTCAGAGAATGTGGGGGGATGCAATGAAGTGTAATATTTCCAAACTTAAGACATTCTCTCATCAGCAGGTGCCTGGCAGCCAAGCAGAACTTGGAACCTCGAAGATGTCCCCTCTGCAGGGGGAGGGCAACCCTGCTCCCTACAGCAGAGGCCCCAGATCGGAACAAGAAAGGACAGGTGGGAACTGCAACCAGTGTCGTAGTTTGGCCTTTATTTTAGGATTTTATCCCCAGGTCTAGCGTCTATGGAACACGGGGTCATATGTGGGCAGATGGACATGCCGTGTGGGGCAGTGGGGGAGGACAGCTGGGGGAGGAGGAGGATTCAGAGCAGAAGGAGTGGAGGCCAGAGGTGAGGCCAGACAGGAACTTCTCAGCAGCAGAACTTGAGGGTGAGAGTGAGGGAGCGATTGCTCTGATCTGCCCCCTAGTCCTGAGTTATCCAAGAGGGCAGCCAGACATCAGCTGTAGGTATTTAAGCGTAGCTTGTCTGAATTGAGATGAGCTGTAAGTGTAAAATACACCCCAAATTTTGAAGCTTTGATATGAAATGAAATAATGTAAAATATCTCATGGATATTTTTATATTGGCTATATGTTAAGATGACAAATTTGGCATACGGTATATCAGGGTAAAGAAAATATATTAAAATGAATTTCACCATTTTTTTTCTTTTCATTTTTAAAAAAAACAGGGTATTTAAAATACAAAATTACTGCTGACGCCGGATTGGCTCAGTGGTAGAGCGTCGGTCTGCAGACTGAAAGGTCCCAGGTTTGATTCCGGTCAAGGGCATGTACCTTGGTTGCGGGCACATCCCCGGTAGGGGGTGTGCAAGAGGCAGCTGGTTGATGTTTCTCTCTCATCAACGTTTCTAGCTCTCTATTTCTCTCCCATTCTCTCTGTTAAAAATCAATAAAATATATTTTAAAAAAATAAATAAAATACAAAATTACAACTAAAACTATGCTTTCTATTTCTATTGGATAGCACTATTTTGGACCAATTCCTCCTGCCTGGGTGAGTGAATGGGGGACAGAATGACAGAGGGTGGGGCCCCTAAAGAGAAAGGCCAGCTACAGTTGACCCCTGAACAAGGGGGTGGAGGATTAGGGATGCCAACCTCCCTTGCAGTTGAAAATCTGTATAACGTTTGGCTCCCCAAAAACGTAATCACTATTGATCAGAAGTTTTATGACAGCAGTCAATTTACTCATAGTTTGTATGTTGCATGCATTTTCACAATAAAGTAAGCTAGAGAAAGAAAATCATAAGAGAAAATACATTGACTGCATTTATTGGAGAAAATCCCCATATTAGGGGGACTGAGCAGTTCACACTTGAGTTGTGCAAGGGTCAACTATATTGCCCTTCCGGGCGGGAGACCTGTGCTAGTCTCACGCAGGAAGGATGGGCACTGGCAGCTCTCCAGGGAGTGGAACCCAGAGTTGGCTGACTCGGCATTGGGGGGAAGGGCTCTCAAGGTTGGGAAGCAAACGGAATAGAATTATGTTCTTTTTAAATTTTTTTCTTTATTGATTAAGGTATCACATATGTGTCCTCAACCCCCCTAGGATTATGTTCTATGGCTGTGCCCGGGGACCTCTTGGGCAATGGGACGGTCTGGCTTGCCTCCCCTCCACCTGCCAGGCTGAAAGAGAAAGGTGAGAAGACCCTGCTAGGGCCTGAGCCATCCTGGGGAAAGCTGCCTGGATCACTGTAAAGATTTTCCAAACAGAAACCTAAAAAAGACCTCGACATCCCTGGAGGAAAGAAAGAAGTAATTGAGGGCCTTCTGGAAACATCCAGGGAGGGATTTCTCCCGCTCCTGTGTGGGCCCTGCCCTGGACCTGGTTCGCTGTTTGGCACCCTCACTTCCTGCTGGTCATTATGTTAATGACACCTCTCCGATGAGGCTTTTCCTGGCCATTTAACACATCAAATCAAATTGTTAAGTAGGGATGTTACGACATTTTATTTGATACCTTTAGTTCAAACGTAATATTTTCCCTAATTCCTTAAAAAAAAATACCCTTCCTCTCCCTCCTCATTAGATGCTTACAGAGGCCCACCATCCCTGCTGGACCTCTTCGTGCCCTACAGTCACCCCAAAGCCCCGCCCGGGGTCTCTGGCGCCCCCCGCCGGCTGGGTCGCAGACACTCCTGCCTGAGCAGCCCCAGGGGCGGTCAGATCGGAGTCGGGCTGGGCTGGGGCAGATCTGTGTTTACACATTTCTCCAGGCGTGGCTGATGTCACTGCCACCCGCATCAGCCGTCCTCCGGGAGAATGACAACTGCGCTTGTTTTGTCCTTTTGGTAAAAATGCGGAATTATTTATTTTCGAGTGTCTTTCTCTTCCTGCTGAGCGTGTCACCGAAAAGCCGGAGCCCCTGGAGCCGTGCTGGTCTCTGACCTCCGGGCCAGCCACGAGTTCCCTCTTGCTCCTGGTTCAATTTTCTGTTTGTTTGTTTGTGTGTTTGTTTCCAGTACGTTTAGTTATGTTTTGCAAACATTTATTTTCAATGCGTGTTTGCAAAGCAGCTCCCTCCACCCCTCCCACGCTCCCCGCGGGCGCCTCCCGCCCTCAAACTTCAGAACCGATGGGATGGGTGGCCCCCTGAGCCGTGGGGGCTGGTGGGTGATGCCCGGGGGCGCTGGGCTCCCGACCCCCAGCCTGTCCTGGGCCGCGAGCGCCTCCAGTTGGGGAAAGAGAATGAACCGTCCGAACGGTCGTGAACCTTTCCCGTTGCCGCTCCTCCCCGGACCTCAGGGTCCCCGGCCTCCCGGCCTCTCCCCCCGTCCCCCGTCCCCCTTCCCCCACCCCGGAGCGGGCGTGGGCAGCAGGTCAGAGCGGGTCAGACGTCCGAAGCCTCGGGGAGCCGGGAGCGGCCGCGGTCCCGGGACGCGAAGACACCTGCGGCTCCGGCGAGGCGGGCGGGCGGTCCCCGAGCCCCGGCGCCTCCTTAAAGCCTCGGCTCCGCCCCGCCCTCCCGGCCCGCCCGGCAGTTCCACCCCAACCGCCGCCCCGCGCCGGGCACAGGCCGCCGAGCCGCGAGCCTGCGAGACGCGCGCGCCGGTCCGAGTCCCCGCGCCCCGCACACGCCGCGATGGCCAGCGAGGAGCTGGCGCGCAAGCTGCAGCGGAGACTGCGGGCGGCGGGAGCGCAGGGGGGCTGCCCGGAGCCCGCACCCCTCGCCGCCGCCGCCGCAGCCCCGGAGCCCGAGCCTGAGCCGCCCGCCGGGGCGCCCGCCGCCAGCGCCGACGCCGACGCCGAGCTGAGCGCGCAGCTGAGCCGCCGGCTGGACATCACCGAGGGCGCGGCGCGGCCCCGCCGCTCCAAGGTCTTCAACCCCTACACCGAGTTCCCCGAGTTCAGCCGCCGCCTCATCAAGGACCTGGAGCGCCAGTTCAAACAGTGAGCGCCCCCCGCGCCGCGCGCCCCGAGGGCCCCGCGCCCGGCACCGGGGAGGGGGCGCGGGGAGGCGGCGGAGGGTCTGTCTTTCGGGCCGGGAGTCCCGGGCTCCGCTCGGACGGGGAGGGTGGGGTCGTGCGGGAATCCCTGGGGGTGCCCTTCGCCTTTTACTCAACGCCCCGGACCCCGCGCTCCCCGAGTCTATGCCGGCGCGGTGGGCAACCCGACCCCGGGGGTTGTGGGCACGGAAAGCAGGACCGCAGACCCAGCTCGGAATTCCCCCTCCCTCTGGGGCCGCGGAGCCCGGCTCCCGGGTCCTGGGGCCCCGGGCGGCCGCCGCGGGTCCCGCCCCCTCCGCAGCCCGGTCCTGCGGTTTGCACCCAAGCACAACTTCTAGGAAACGGAGCCGCGCCGCACCTCACCTGCCAGCCTTTACCTCCCAAGGGAGACATTAGCCCTGTTGTCCTTTATCTTTTAAAATAAAAGAGGAAAAGTTATCCTTGGCTGCCGCTCGGGGTCTGATGTACCAATAAGAGGTACATCAGAGGCTGAGAACGGGGAGTTGGTTAAACTCTCCGCAAAACATCAGGGCGTTCCTGGAGCGAGCGGGTCCCCCGAGGCTCCTGGGGGCGTCGCCCTGTCTGCAGGCGCAGCTGGCAGACGTCCCCGTGGGGGCTCGCTCTTGTCCTGCTGGGTAAGCCCCACCCGGCAGGGAGGGCAGAGCAGAGGGTCCCCGCTACACGGGCTTGGAGCTTGGGAGCTCCTGGGGACTCAATGTTCTCATCTGAAGAATGGGAGCAATGATCGTTCCTGCCCTTCAAGGCTATAAATTATGTTGGCACACCGTAAGCTCCTAACCCAGCTATTAATATGACTTCCAGAATAGGGCCAGAACCAAAAAAAATGTCTGGGGGAGCGGAGGCCTCCGGCCAGGTCAAGCTTGGGGCGTTTTTAAAGCGCATGGAATGTTTGTCCTCCCCGTGGAGGTTCTATTTAAGGGCTCTGTGTGGCCGGCGCTGGGTGGCTCGAGCCTGAGGCTGGGCTGCCGTCCAGCGCCAGCCCCTGTGGGGAGGTAAGCAGAGGCAGGCACCCGGAGGCCACCCAGCCTCCTCTGCTTGCCTGACACCCCAATTTCCGAATCCCTGGCTTCCAGGCACTGGTGTTGTCTGGTGTTGACACCTGATGGGGCAACGAAGGAAAGCTGAGTTGGGGCAAAAGAGGTGGAAGGACAATCAGGGAGTGGTTCGTCACAGTCCCTTGGGTTTGTTTTGGATTATGCCCTTCACGGGAAGACCAGTAGTTCCCCCAGTCCAGTTGGATTCAGGGAGAGCATCTTGGGGACCTTCTTCAAGTTGCTTTGCAGTGATTTGGGTTTCATATACTTATTTTTATTACTATAATTTTTTCCCCCTGTAGAAAAGTCTTTGAGAGGGTAAGTTTGTTAGTTGGCTGCCTACGAGTAGCAGAAGGAATAAGGCAGTGGGGTCAGGGATGGCTGGATCCAGGTGCCCAGATGATGCCGACAGTGATTAGATTCTCTCTTTCTTAAGCCAACTATCTCTTTTGTCCATGCCCAGACCCTCGTTCCCCTACCCACCTTCAGGCCACCCAGACCCTACAAAAACAAGAATTTCTTGGCCCACCCCCCTGAGCTTCCACACACTTAAGCATCTTCCACCTGAGCTAATGATCATCCTGCAGGTGCTTCTCCCAGTTCCCCACATCTGGGAGCAGCTGGAACGTTGCTCTCCCTGCCTCACCAAGGTCAGGGCTCCTCTGCCTGGAAGATTTTGTCACTTAAGCGTTCACCCACCCTCGGTGCCTAGAACATGGCAGAGACTAGTTGATAGACACACCCCTCATCGTATGAAAGGGCCCTGACTACACCCGCCCAGGCAGGCGACAAATCCCCAAATGCAGTGGGCGCTGGGCCCTCTGCCTTGGCAGTCACATGGTGCTCTCCCTGCATGTGTCTTCACGTGGCCTTCTTATAAGGACACTAGTCTTTGGATTTATGGCCCACCGTAGTCCAGTGTGATTTCCTCTTAATTCATTACATCTGCAAACTCTATTTCCAAATAAAGTCACATGCTGAGGTTCTGGATGACCATGAATGGTTTTTTTGAGGGGGTCGGGGCAGCTATCCAACCCATTATTGTGAGTGAGCAGAGATACCCAAACCATGGGGCACCACAAGCGTCTCCTCCCCACCTTCTGAGAGGTATGGGGAAAGTCCGCTCAAGGATGCCCTCAGATTTAGGCACGTCAGGCTCCTAACCAGTTTATCTGAGGGAGTTAGGAAGGTCAGAGACCTAACCAAAGCCAGCAGGATCCCACCCCCAACGGAAGAGGAACAGTCTCCCCGTAGCCCAGTCCTAATCCAAATGGAGTTGCCATCTAACTTTAAGAACAAAGCCAAACCAATGGAAACCCCCCCAGTGGTGCCAGGTGTGCAATTACTTTCAGTAGGAATTTTCTTTTAATCAGAGTTTCTAGATCCAGATTTTGATGTCACTTTGGAGTTTGCTCAGAACCTGACTTGGCTGGTACAGAGCACGCTCATTCTTTCGTCGGGGGCTAGAGAGATTCACGTAGATATCTCTCTGGAGATATCTATTCACGTAGATATATCTGCAAAACATGCTTTGAACTTTTAAAGGCGATTTCTTGTATTTAAAAGTATTTTGCCTGGGGATTTCTTACATTTTTCAAGATTAAAACACACACACATACACGCACTCACTCACACCCCAAACAACTGGATCTCTTTCACGGCCTGTGAGCGTGTTGGGTTCTTGGCATGGGGTCATTTGTCTTTGTATCCTGGCTCCTCAATGGTGAGTTGTAGAATAAAGAGAATTTTCTAATGAGTGTGGGAAGCCAGAGGCGTCACTGGCCAGGCCAGAGAAAGTTCCCTCTCCGTTTCCAAGTGTGTTACTAGATAGCCTGAGCCTACAGAATAGTGGCCTGATTTTAAACGAAGAGTGAGAAGGCCCAGAAGAAACTGACTCTACAGTGTGTGTCCAGGGCTGTAACAGGAGCCGGCGGAATGGTCAAGGTTAGACAGGAAATTTCAATTACCCTGGACCCTAGCCAGGGGCCTCTTTCAAAGGGGGAGGTAACGAGGGCAGCCACTTAAGGGCAGGACCCAAATGCAACATCTGAAAATGCAGCTGCGGTGTGTTTGCAACGCTTTAAAAGCGTGTGTTTCAATTCCCCAAAGAGAGGGTGGGAAGAGGAGCATTTGGCTGTGGGAAGGCTGTCTTTTTATTAAGAATCCGAAATGATGATGTCACGGACACCCTGCCAACACCCAATTCCCCGGGTCACCATTGAGCCCGGAAAAGAGGAGGTTGTCTTGGAACTTTTCCCCCCACCCCCTTACTTTCCTTTTCTCCTCCCCCTCTGAGGGTGGGGGTCGGGCGGGGGTGGTGGGACTGGAGGGATTTTGCCAAAGAGGTGAAAGGAGCCTTCTTAAGGAGGTTTGTACTGGGGGGTAGAGGTGAGGGGCCTCACCCAAACTCATCCACGTCTTTTGAGTGAGTTGACTTTAGAGATTGGGAAGGACATGCAAGTAAATGGGAGCTGAGCGCTCTCGCCCCCCAGGGAAGGAGAACGTCTGGCCTTCCTGCCCCTGCGGTCACAGGGATGCCCTTGAGTTTGAAACGGTCTCACCTGCCCTGGATTTGCACGTTGGACTGTGCTGCGTGGCGGTGGGGTGAGGGCACCCGGGCTTGTTTGAATTCCTGGGGGGTGTTCAGCCAGAACCCAGGCTGGCTTCTGTTTCGGAGCCTTGGTCTCCGGCAGAAAGTCAGTGGGACGTGGAGCTGCTCCTTGGCCCCTGAGCGCTGCTTGTTTTCATTTGCCAGCAGCGCGGTGAGGCTGTGAGCGCCGGTGCAGGGGCTCCTGCGGTGCACAGCGCCTGGTAGTTCTCTCTTGGCTGGAGTTTTCTCCCTCCTCTCTCTCAGAAGTGCCCTCCACCCTCCTTATTACAGAGCCATCTCATCTTCCGAGACTTTGAAATTGAGTGAGTTATTAAAGACTTACATTATGTAAAAAAAAAAAAAAAATATTAGTTAACAAGTGCCTGATTCAAGGTTGTACCGTCCAAGGGACTCAGACTCTCAGCCCTGAGGCCCCCCCCCCCCCCATCTCAGTCTAACTAGGAAGTAGAAATACCTTCTCCATTGAGTTTGGGGGTTTCTGGTTTACCTGGGGCTGCATCGTGCTTGCTTTTGCAGTGTGGCTGAGCCAGTGGGTCTTGGGAGCTAGGGACTGCCAGGCTGGTCTGCCTCAGGGAACACGTGCTGAGGTCAGGAGCCCAGCATACCCTCAGGTTTTGTGAATGTTTGCGTTTAGCTTGTTGTTTCATGGAATGTGCTTCTCGGGTAGCCTTGCACACAGACACATGCCTATATACATGTGACACCCTTGCTCTCTCTTGCATACCTCTGACGCACTCACAGAGCTTGGCCTCCATCGCATTCTGCGGTCCTCCTGGAAAAAGCCTCTGTTAGCCTCCTGCTTCTGTTTCCCTTGAGTGTTGATGATCAAAGATCCCCTGGTCCTAAATCCTAGATGCTCCTAGGGAAGGTGGGGGCGTGAAGGGGAGCTATGTGCAGGGACGTCTGACCCAGAATCTAACCAGCAACCTTCGGTACCCAGTAAAACAGGATGATGCCCAACCAACTGAGCCACACCAGCCAGCGCTCAACAAACTTAACAGCGACTCAGATTTAACAGGATGCTGCTTGACAGGGGTGGACGGAAGTCCTGGAAAAGCCACCCGCCACCCGTGTGCAAGGCACCCCAGGTAGCCGAGCTGACCCTGTGAGGATGTTGCATTCTGCTGCCCTCGTGGCAGGAGGTCCTGGCATTTCTGGACACAGGCAGAGAAGAGCAGCCAGCCAGTATTGGGAAGGAATTCAGACGGAGGCTTCTGGAGTCAGAGGATGGGGGGCTGAGAGCTTAGAGCATTGGGGGGATCTGCGTGACCTCAGAGG